AAATATATCAAAATAATATTTTTTATTTTTTAAAAATTATTTTTAAAATTAGTATATTAAAACGATTCAAAATATATAAAAAAATAATTTTTAATAAAAAATTAAATTTTTTAACAAAACATCACTCTTGAAACAGGTGTTTGGATATCCAAGAAATCATGTTTTAATAAATTCATCACTATTCTTTTTATAATCGTCGCACAAAAAGATTCAATTAAATCATCCATTTATAAAAAAAAAATTAAATAATTAAGATTTTTTCACTTCGACGAGGAGGTTTTTTTTTTAAGAAAAGAATTACTGTCAAATACTTGAAAAATAAATCACGAAAAAGACAATTAAGTACTGGATAGGCTCCTACAGGCCTTCTATGCTCCTTCTGTTCAAGAGGGTGTCTATGAGTATGGTCAAAATAAAATTTTAATATAAATTTTTAAAAATAAAAAAATATTATTTTAATATATTAATATCTACTTACTGGAATTTAATTGGAGTTTGAAAACTTGTACTTGTTAAGAATTTTTACCAGAAGAGACATGCCACGCCACTCATTCAAATAATTGAAAATCTTAAAATCCACTAGTCGAAGGCTCAATTTTGATGGCCAGCTCTAAATTATCTATCATTGGAGTTTAGTTGAATGCTAAGCTGGTAGTTACATAGAATACTGAATTATATATATAATACGCGATCTGGAGCACATTGTTTTAAATCTTGTCTAAAAGAACGTGGCATGCTCCACTACGATGCTGACAGCAGCAAGCAAAAAGCTCTGGTGGTTAAAGGGGTTGATCCGAAAGGAAGCATGGATTAGACTAGCTTTAAAAAAAGAGAGTGTATTATAGATGCCTAATTCTTTTTCCTTCTTTTCTTACAAGATAGATGATTCGGAGATACCTAGCCATGATATCTGGGAAAACCAGAGAGGTGATCTCCTTTGATTGTATTCTGGATATAGAGCTGGAAAACGAAACTAGTGTGCTTTATACAGGAAGGAAAAACATAGCATATATGAGCATAATGTAGTGCATAGTTATGTACACAAAGCACATTATGATCAAACTATATACAACATATATGTCGGCAAACCATTGGTCTTCGTATGCTGGTAGCAGAACAGCTATAAATACTGCCTCGACCTGTATATCCATCGTCAGAAACGGCAGGTCCATCTTCTTGTACGTAATTCACATTCCTGAACATCACATCTAGCCAAACTGAGCTAGTTGGATTCATATTGTAGCAAACATCCTTCTACACTCTACAGAAAAGAAAAGTCTTCGTCAGGACTTCATAGTTATTTTGATTTCAAAGAAGCAGCGGCTGGATGTGATTCGACCAGTATTGACCATAGGACATGCACGTCTTCACAAGGGCAAGACTTCACATCCTTGTACAGAATGTATATCCCTGTACCTGTAAATAAAAAGTTCAATAATCTGCTGTCAGTGATTTGGTCCCCCAATTTATAAAGTAGAAGACGTAAAAGCCTTCACTGTGACCACGTTTGTGAAATCAGAAACAAAAGGTTAGCAAAGAAAGAAAGATTTGGAATCTCAGAACCAAACTGCGGAGATGGTAAATGACACATTAATGAAAAGACACTCGTATGGTACAGGGAATTACGCTTTCTGTGGCTGGAGTGAAGACGATCCCAGAACTTCTTCAATGGGGAGATGAAGGACTGAAGCCACCCCATTTGGAAGAAGAAGTTGGGTTTTGTTAATGGTAGGTAAAAGGTTGGAAAGAAATAGAGAGGGGTTAGAAAACGCAGGGGTTTGCTTAGACAGAGGGGATTTGTATATTACTGTTCCTTTTGGTTTTTATTAAAATTCCCTTTCATGACAAGCCTGCAATAAAACATGTCCTCTTTGGTGCTGTGTCTCTGTCACACCTTTTATCTCTTGTGGAAGGAGCTTAACCCCAAAGGTGCAGAAATATCCTAATTCCTAATAAACTTTTACATAATCCTGTTTTCACACTAACAAAATTACAAATGCTGAAGAAGTTTTGTGCCTGTATCTTATCCTGATCAAGAGCTTATTTAACTTGTTTCTCAAGCCAAAGTTCATATTTCTATTTACTATTTTATCACTTAACGTCCAACCCACTTGTGAGATATCTTCCTTCCTCTCTGAAGTCCACCTCTTGTGTGTCGAATGAACTAGCCATAGGCTTTCCCAAAAATGTTAGTCATCACAAGTTTTGTTATTTTTACTTATTTCTTTGCTCCTTTTGGTAAGAAAGTTGTCCTGCACGCCAAGATGGCTAATTAGCTTCAGCATGAAGGTCCCTCGCGGATTCTGGTTTTTACTCTCATAGCATTGCCTGTTTTGTTTTTTTTGGTTTCAAAATTATTTTCTAAATTTTTTTTTTCTTATTTTCAAATCATTTTAACTTGTTAATATCAAAAATAATTTTAAAAAAATTAAAAAAAAATATTTTAATATATTTTTAAATAAAAATTATTTTAAAAAACAATCATGGTCACACTTCCATATATCCTTTTAAATGCAACTACAAAGATTACTCTTCATATGTTGTGGGTTGAGTTAATTTTTTACCAACATATAAAAAAGCTTATGAGATATCAATATTTTTAAAATAGTAATAAAAAAAATAAGAATTTTTGCTAACTATTTAATTTGCTTATTTACCAAATTATCTTGTTGTCCCTAATAATATCTAATAACTATCAAATAATTAAATTTTAAAAATAAAATATAAAAAATAAAAGAACCCTTAAGTAGGCAGAACTTTTTAAATTTCAAGGTAATGAAATAGCTTACCTGTTTTTAAATTAAAAGTTCCTGACCAAAGTTTAATGTTTTTTTATTTTAATGATAATAAAGTAATTATATTGTGAAATAAAAATATAAAAATATTATTTAACCTTATTTTTTTTATTATAACTTATGAGTCCTATGAAAAAACATTTCTACTTCTAAAATAAAGCTAAACAGTTTCGTTAATTAAAAGTAAAATAATATTTTCACTGTGAAAGTAAAATTGGAGTGCAAGCAATTGAGCTTAGCAAATTGAATGAGGAAGAAATTCAATGCATGTCAATCATAATGAGATGCTAATGCATGTATGCTATATGGAAGCAAAGTGATCATTATTGGACTTGTAACTTTTAGAAGTTCCTGTCAATTACAGAGAAATCATTGGAAGGCGGAAGGAGTGTACGAGAATACTTCCAAGATAATTTGATCCTTAATCTTCAAGATATCGTGATTAAATTTCAAAAAATTAGAGGGACACGTCCTCATGAATTAAAATGCCGTACTGGGTTTCTTGAAATGATTGATATGAAAGATCAAGTGGAGCTGCGCCATTTGTGTGTGAAAATATGAAATATTGGGGCCAAGCCGATTGAATTTAAAAAAAAAGGCACCAACAGCCTGTATGTTCATGCTCTATTGATGTTATTTTTTGGAATTCTTTTATTTAAAAATATATGTTAATAATATTTTGTTATTTTTTAAAATTTATTTTTAATATTGATATGTTAAAATGATCTTAAAATAAAAAAAAATATTAATTTAAAATAAAAAATAATTTTTTAAAATATAAAAATAAACAATCTCGTAGTTTGCAAAGCGGGAAGCAATGTTACTGCGATCCAGCGTTCTGTCGTATGGGTAAATATGGAGGCATGTAAGAGGTGATTATATGTAGCCATGCTGCTAAGTGGGATGGACCGTCCATGGCAAGAAAGTCTTTGGCGGGGGAAGCATTGTAGCGGATGAAGGGAGAGAGAGACGTGGCATCAGATTCTGCAGCAGATGGCTAAACTCAATATTAAAGCTGTGAGGTAAAATGTCAGGGTGGTTGGATAGATGAGTTGTGAATTGTGAAATGTGAAAATGGTTGAGTGGTGTGCGGTTGAGTTTCTTAATGACAATATGCTTCAAGGACGGTTCTATTTGAAATATATGTTTCATCTAATTTTATTTATATATATATATATATATAGACACACACATTTGAAATATATGTGTGAGAATGGCCTTACCCTCTCGAACGCATGCTCTTGGACCCGCACCAGCCTTGGGCGTAGGGGCCATGCGATAGATCCGGTTTCCTGTGGCCACATTCCACACAATAATCACGAGTCATGGCTCGTCACGGGCTGCAACTCTTGATGGTTTGGAAAGGCGTTCCAACTATATTTTTAGTAATTTTAAATTTTTTATTAAAAGTAATATTTTTTAATTATTTTGATATCCTAATATAAAAAAATTTTATTTTAATATATTTATGAATAAAAAACACTTTCAATTACAACCAATCTCACAGACATTATTAAACTTGGTGAGGCCACTCATTGTTGTGGATCAAAATAAGAAGAGATGTTCTCTGCACTTGCTAAATGACATCAAGCCTCAGTAGAGCCCTCCGTGGCCTGACACGAGAAGACAGTGTCTATATTTAACACTCTATTCTACAAAAACATTGTTGTTTTTGTGTGGACATAGGCGGTGCTTGTATTTTTATTGTTCTTTAAGATCTTTTTCATTCAGGTCACCAAACAGTTTACTTTCTTTGTTTCAATCCTTTTTACATGGCCACGGTTATGAATAGGATTTAATGATTTGTTTCTTAGGGGTTTATCACGGTGAAAAAAGTTCATGCATTAAATTGATGTTTAGTTTTGTAAATTAAACTTAATTTCATTGAATTTTTTTAAAATAAAATGTATTTAATTAATTAATTAAAAATATATTTGAGATATTATTTATTAAAATATATATCAATTCTTGCTCAGATTTTAAAGAGGTTACAACATATATACTGTGACAAACACTTTTTTGTGTAGACATTCATGATATTTGTTGTTACATGAGAGATGGGTTATCTAGGGATTTTTGGGGGAAAAAAATGAGAGTTTCCACCTAGTTTTTTTTTTAAGGAAATTAAGAATTCTAAAACATGCATTGCTTCTATAAATTAGAGTAAAAGATTGATTATGCTTGAGAGAAGAAGAAAAATCATCATTTCCATGTCATTTTAAATAAGACGTTACCTTAGTTGTATGTTTTCTAAATTTATTTCATGTATGTTATTAATTGACCTGTTATTTTATAAACTTATTTGCAAGATAGTTATTATTAATGAATGATCATGGAGTTAATGTCGGACCTTAGAACATGAATCTTGCAACTCAGTAATATTCTCATAGAACGAGATGAGACTAATGTTGTGCAAAAACTATATTGGTTTATAATTTAAAAAAACTCATCGATTGATTGTTAAATTCATTTTAAAGTTAAAAAATATCACAAAGGATCTATATTGGCCACTAAAACAAGACACATTGACCAAATTGTTAAAATTCAAGTTCAATTAAAACATGACACTAACTTGACAAAAACTCATCAACTCAATTTTAAACTCATTTTGAGTTTAAAACAAATTACATAGCCTACGTTGATCCTTAAAAATTTGAAAACATGTTGACTGAATTATTAAAACCCAAGACATGACGCTAACTTGATGAAAAATCATCAATGTTGTTTTAATTTTTTATTTGAAAATAATTTTTTACATGTATATACATACATAAAAAGGAGAAACCCTTTTTTTTTTAACAAAATGAAGCTAATGTTAATGTGAAATCCATAAAAATAGAATAAAAATAATGAACAGTAACCACGTGTGAATAGTGCAATGAATAGTATCTTGCATTTTGAATGTAGCATGCTTTTGAAAATGAATATTCACATGCCCTTGTATTTGTAAAAAGGTGAAAGAGATGTTTTGTAAAATAAAGCTGTCGTGAATGCAAAGTTGAAAAAAATAAAATAAAATAAAATAAAAATACAATGGTGAATATTAGAGTATGCATTTTTTTAGCATTTTCAACAATAAATTTACAAGTTACAGAAAAGAATAAGAAAAGAAAAAAAGAGATAAGGCGAAAAAGGTTGGTGCAATTGTTGTTGATGGCGGAGATGATGGTGGTGATGACGGTGAAAGGATTCTGGGTGATTTTGTCTTCTCTTTTATTCCTTTTCTCTTCTTCTTGCCCTCTTTTCACCTCTAGGCTTAGAAAATCGATTTCTCATGTCAATAAGCTTATTTATTCTTTTATCTTGCTATCTATGTTTTGTCTTTTCTCTTTATTTTTTCTTCTTTTCTTCTTTTTCCTTACCCCCTAGATCAAACAAACTTTAAACACTCAACTCAAAACTCTTTTTTTCTTTTATCTTTTTATAAAGGGGGAAGAGCTTTTAGCAACCTCTTGATAAGGACTCTTGGTTTATTGAGATGAATCCTAACCTTGTATGTTACCCTTTTCTTGGAAAAACATGACTAAATCACATACTTTAGGTTTTTTTAGGTAGTTTCGAGGGCTTTATTAGCATGGGTATTAGGTGGTGGTGAGATAGGAAATATTAGAGAAGAGGTAATGGTGTTTTTTTTTTTAGATTAACGTGGGTGTTCGGGTCAGCTTGCGCGCACCACGACTAATCCCACGGGTCCTGAAGTTAACGACCATGTAAGCCTCTAGTGGCCATCATATGAGCAACCAAGGACTCGAACCTGAGACTACAGAGGGAGCAAACCCCTTGATCCCAAGTCCTTACTACTTGGCCACCACCTAGATGGTTAAGGTAATGGTATTTTGATCGTGCTGGGAAGTGTAGATAGAAAAATAAAGTGTAATCATTTAGGCACGAAAGAAGGGTAGGGTAACAAAAAAAAAAAAAAAAAGATGGTGGTTTCATGTATCAAAACAACATCGTTTTGATTCATGTTTTTTATTTTTGTTTTTTAGATGAAATGATGTCATTTCACCTAGACAATAATGGACGTCATTTCAGTTTAAATAGGGAAAGTGTCTTTTTTAAGTTAGTCCTTAGATTTTTATTTATTTTTACTAATTACATATTTTTCTTGTAATTGCTTTCAATTTGGTCTATACTTGCTCATTTTTCTAATAATTGCTTTTAATTTGGTCCATGTTTGCTCATTTTCACACTCCCATTCCTCCTCTTTTAATTTAGTCTTTTAATTTAGTCTATAGATTCTTATTTAGTTATTTTTGACCACTTACACATCTTTTATCATCAATTCTTTTAATTTCTCCCATTATAACATATTTATTATCATTATTATTAGATTTTTTAATTTATATTTTTTCTTGATTGCACAAAAAAAAAACATGTAAAAACTAGGAAAAAAAACTTTGAAAAATTACCGAAATAAAAGTAAACATGTAGTATTTTTTAATGTATTTTTTCTTGTAATTTTTATTTCTTATGCAGACAAAAAAAATGTGCTTTTTTTCTACAAGGAATAAAAATTTGGGTTATTACAATATTTTTTTAATTTTTAATTTTTGTTAAATTGTTTTTCATTTTTGAATCATATAATTAAATAAAATATTTGATTAAATTTTTTTAATAAACTCAACCTAGTTCGTGATCTATGTTACAGGTTAGCCCAAATTAACCCGGGTCAATAAAAAATACCATCATCTAAAACAATAATAATTAAAATGATGGTTGCTTGAAATTGATTTTAGTTAAATTGAGTTTTGAAAAAGAAAAATAATTATATTTGTACCCACTAGATCAAATAAATCACATTACTTCAACTCTATTATAGTTTAATTTGAAATTCATATTACCTAATGCCTCGTAGTAGGATCAAGTTAAATAAATAAGAAAAGATTAATTATACTAACAAATTATTAATCTAGTCTTATATTATTGTTAATAGTTTTTTTTTAATATTTATTGGAGCATGTAATCATCAATTAATTTAATGAAATACACGTGCAATATTTTCAATGCACATTTTATTTTCTTTAGTTAAAAAAAAATCTCAGCAATGCCCATATATTTTGTTTTACATTGAAATTAACTTTGATTCGACCGCGCATAATAAAATTACCTGTTGATCCTCCTATTCACAACGAAATGCAAGCATGAAGACTTAGATGATCCGCAACGAAATGCAGGCATGAAGACTAGTCGCCTACCAATACCCGAAGCCTACGATATGACCCAAAAAGAATATAATAATTTTTCAATTTGAATGACTATTTGATCTAACCATAACCTACGAATGTGTTATAATTTTATTGGAGTTTTCGATGAAGCGAGGATTGAACTTGAAATTATTATTCTTATTTATGCAAAAATATCATTAAACTATAGGTTTTTCTTGATTACTGAATACCATGATCGGGTGATACCGCTGGCTAATGTCATGCTTATATATTATTGTGAGTTTATGAAAAAAATAAAACAAAATTATATATAAAAAATTATTACAATCTATAATATTTTTAAGAAAAAATTATAAAGTTAAATTCTTAACCGACTTAATATTAAAAAATAAAAATAATTTTAAAAAATAACAAAAAAAACTAAATAGGAAAACACTCTAACAATTTATAATATTTCATAAAAAAATCTAAAGTTGTAATTCTGGTATGCTTGTAGGTTGTCGTGGATTTGTGGAAAAAATAAAAAAAATTATTGTAATTTATAATGTTTTCAAGAAAAAAAATAAAATCGATAAAGACTATTTAAAAAAAAAATAATCATATAGAAAAACATTATAGTAATTCATAATGTTTTAAAGAAAAAAACTATAGAATTAAATTTTTAATCAATTCAATATTAAAAAAATTGATAAAGATAATTTAAAAAAAAATAATAATTTTTTTTTTTTTAAAAAAGACAATCTTGAAAAATAAACATGTAAAACCCAAAAAAAAAAATATGGGAAAAAAAGAAAAATGACATAAAAAACCGAAAAAAATAAAAACAAAACATTTGACATGGGAAAGTTATTGTACTTTTTCGACATCTTTTAAAATATTAGTTAATTATAAAATATACTTTTTAAATAAATGTAAAGCATTATTAGTCTTTGTTTGGATATTGATATTGCGATCGATACAGCAAGACGACTCCCCAGTATATGATCAAAGAACAAGGAAGAAAGGCTCTTAGCGTACTGCGAACCAATTTCTCAAGGCCCATATCGTAAAGGGCTCTGCCAAGCAACGGAAAACCCAACTACAACACTTCAAGGGCAGGCAAGAAGACGAAAGTGCAAGAGCTCAACACAAGCTCTTGAGGCCTAGAAATAATGAACAGCCCGGCCTCAAATTCAATCGATCTACTAATGATTTAGGAATTTGCTAATATAATGCACCCCCACTACCACGTTTTTAGCGGCGGACTTAACAAGCTGCACCGAAGAAACCGACTTTAAGACAGGCGGTCCTCCTCCCTCCCATTACAGAAATATCCTTAAAAAATCAATCTTCCTGGTGAACTCTATCTCCTATCCCTAAAATGGGCAGGCCATTGTCCACCGTTGAAATTCCTGATAGACGATACATTCCTGACCGCCAGAACAGCCGTTACACACCAGAATCTGACGCCTCCCCTGACCATCGCCGCCGCCGTGACCGTGGTAGTCCCTCTTATCAAAGCTACGACGATCGCCGTCGCGAAATCGATCGAGGCAGACGCCGTCGGTCGAGCTCACCCGACTACTCTAGAAGCCCTAGAAGAAGAACAACAAGAAGAAGCCCAAGCCCTAGGCAAAGACAAACCCTAGATCATCCTCTCCCCAAAAAATTCGGCAAGGACTGGTCTTTTCTTGATAGGAATGGAAGGGAATCGGATGAGGAATCGGATGAGGAATTGAAAGGATTGAGTTTTGAGGAGAGGAGGAGGCTGAAGAGGCAGAAGATGAGGAAGTCTATGAGGTATTGTATTTGGAATGTTTCACCAAGTCCTCCGAGAGGGGATAATGAAGAGGAACTTGAGGAGAAAGCGGATAAGATTGAGGAGAAGCATGGAGAGGATGAAGAAAAGAGTGATGATTCTAGCGGGAAAGAGAAGGAGAAAGGAAATGATGGAAAGGGGATAATGGGGTCAGAGAATTCTGGGAGTAGCGAGTCAGAGTCAGAGTCAGAGTCTGAGTCTGAGTCAGATGATTCGAGGGAGAAAAGAAGGAGGGGATTGAGTTCTAAACGTAGGAGGAGAAGGAACAGTGATAGTGAATCAGATGTTAGTGAGAGCCAAAGTGAGAGCGAACCCGACTCTGAAGAAGATCGGAAACGGAGAAAGAAGTCCCGGAAAAGTATTAGTAGGCGGAGAAACAGTGGTAAGAGCATTGGTAGAAGAAGAAAGAGTACAAGGAAGAAGAGTAAGTATAGTGATTCTGATTATAGTGGGAGTGAGGAGTCTGATGATGATCGTGTAAAGTCTAAGAAGAGGAGTCGCTCTTCGGGTTCGCAATCTAAGGGGAGCAAGAAGAGAAGCACTGGAACAGAGAGTGAGAATCTGGATTCCAATGAGGGTTCTGGTTCTGAGGAAAACAAAGTAAATGATGATGATGCTGCCAAGGCTGAAACTGATGCTGAGGCATTGATGTTTAAAGAAATGATTGAGGCACAAAAGAAACCCGCTCTGGATAATGAACCTGAGGTTGGGCCAATGCCCTTGCCTAGAGCTGAAGGGCATATTAGTTATGGTGGAGCTTTGAGGCCTGGTGAAGGTGATGCTATTGCTCAGTATGTGCAGCAAGGGAAACGTATTCCACGTAGAGGTGAAGTGGGTCTTTCTGCAGAGGAGATTCAGAAATTTGAGAATCTTGGGTATGTGATGAGTGGTAGTAGGCATCAGAGGATGAATGCCATTCGTATCAGGAAAGAAAACCAAGTTTACAGTGCTGAAGATAAGCGGGCGCTGGCCATGTTTAACTATGAAGAGAAGGCGAAACGTGAACACAAGGTCATGGCTGATTTGCAACGGCTGGTGCAGCGTCATATTGGGCAGGATGTTGGCCCTAGCCATGATCCATTTGCTGCAAAAGCATCCGATGGTGCTGATGCTTAGGGAGGTGTGTTATTATTTCTCCTTATAACTTACTTTATCATATTTTCTAGGGCTTTTATCTTGATTGATAATTAGTGGGATGATATGTTTTCCTTATTGATATTGCAATGTATTCGAATGCTTATCATGTGCAATAATGATGGGTTAACTCCTTGTTAGTATCTTAGATGATAAACCTAACCACAAACTATGTGCTTGGTTAATCAGTTTCCTTAAAACCAGATGAAAGTGTAATAGATCAGAGTGTCTGTGCTATTTGACATAAATAAAAGTACATGCTTAGCCTCGGCTAAAGTGTAAATATGGAATGTGATATTTGAAATCGGTACTTGTGAGTGTAGTTGACAAGGAAACTGAAATGATGTTTTTTCAATTACTTTGATTGACAGTGAAGAAATGGTTTGGGGTGTAAATGATTTGAAAATGAGAATGAGTAGAGGATACTGAATTTTGCTTACTGATCTAAATCTAGATACTGTAAATTAATTTTATGTGAATTAAAGCGAGGTTTGATTATTAGGTTGCAGTCTAGAGTGGAGTTCCCTGTGTTGTAATTTGTTTCTTAGAAATCTTTACGTTGACACATCCCTTTCTTCATATTGTAATTGTGTTGAAAAGTGAAAAAATTTCTACTGGTTTCTTGTTATCATAATTTTATCCTTGCTTTCTGGGCTGGTGGCATTTATGAGCTTCAATTACTGTTTTAATGTCATTTACACTGGTTATAGTTAGGATTTGGGGTTAGATTTTAGAAAGCTATATTTCCTTTTTAATAATAACAGAAAAGGGAAAGCTGTGATTTCAGTTCAGTGCCTTAGTTATAGGCAATGGGACATGAGTGAAAGATACCTGAGAAAATTTTAAATCTTTTCTCTGAAAAGGATAATTATTCAGAGAATAGCTGCATGGTCGTGGTGTTCAATTAAAGGATTTTTGGGGTAGGAATTGCCTTTTTTTACCCCTTAATTTCTGAGTTGAGTATGTTTCATCAGAGAATAGCTGCATGGTCGTGGCGTTCAATTAAAGGATTTTTGGGGTTGGAATTGCCCTTTTTTACCCCTTAATTTCTGAGTTGAGTATGTTTCAAACCTACCCATCAAAATTTTAAAAAGGAGATATAAGAAAGAAATTGCTTCTCTGATAAATCTGCACTTGCATTGCATTTCTCCTTAAATGTTCTCTATAAACAGAAATTAGAGATTGTTTTGCTTGGATACAGGCATCACTGGGAATCAGGACCATGGGAAACATTTGTCTTTTTAGCTTAGGATTATGGATTTCAGTCTACATGGTGTTTTTCAGTTTGTTAGGTATATGTCCATGGATGATTGGTCTTTGATGGTGGAAAGTTTTCCATGCTGAAGTTGTATAACATGATGTACGTTTTTGCACTCAGTTTATGTTTTCTCCATCTCATCACTGGGTAGGTTTGTCATGTTTTTCTTTTTAATCTGCTTTCTCCTCAGTTATATTTCATGATGTGCTACTGGGCAAGATTACTATGATTTAGCCCGAGATTTTAAATCATGTTATCTTCCCAGACCACCGAGTAGAAGGGACCTGCCACTGATTGTTTTCCTATGAAGTCTTGGAAACTTTGTTGCATGAAGTATCCTGACATGGATCCATCATGAGCCTGCGAACAAATTTCTTTGACACTTCTGTTTCAAGGTCAATAATCTTGAATCTTTAATATGTTCCACCGAGTATGTGCTTTTGTTCCGCTATTTTGTTCGCACTTTCTTTTTATTCTTGAATTGTCTTATCTATGCTTATGAGAATCTTAATTAGACTATCTACTCGTGAATGCAAAGTCTTTCTTGCTAGAACTTCTGAGTTCTTAAACGCTTTGTGTGTATTTTAGGTATCTGACTGGCAAGAGAAATCCAAGCAAGCAAAAACTGGGAATCTGACCTCTCACTTTTAATTCTGTGCATACATGTAAAAGTTGTGAGAGGACTGGTTTAGAGAATATCAATGAAGATCTCCATTGTAGGACATGTATCTGCAGACAGAATGTGATGTGTCTCAATAATTCTAGGGATCTGGCGAGGGATGCTCATATTTATGCAACTGTATTAACTTAAGGAAAATTGTCTTTTTGTTTGACTAGACTTTTTACAATTAGATGGGAACTGTAATTTTGCACTACTTTTAATCCTTTTTAAGTTGTCCATTATTTCTGTTATTTTTATGCTGTTTTCTTGTATTCAATTGCCACACCCAGCTTTGTCTTGAAGAACCCAGGGCTAAATTTCCCGTTGTTAGGCCGATTTATCTATTCTACCACTGGTGTCCTGTATTTTTTTTTTTATATATACTAGACAAACCTACTCTCCAAGCGCTGCATGCTTCGAAGGTTAAAGCTGTGGTTGGGTGATGCTGGTGAGTTTAGACTCGGCAAGCACTTGTTCCCGAACGGTTGCTGGGTGGTGTTAACGGTCATTTGTAGAAGCATCTCTTACAGCATGCTTTACATCTGGGATTTTGATGACAGTGTTAAGCCGAGCTGCGCTCTCTCTGCAACTCAAGAGTGTGGTTGGTAAGCTATATATATATATATATTAACTCAATGGCGGTCAGATTATGTTTGTTAGGAAGGATGGCATTGGTAAAGTGGAGGGATGGATAGGGTGGGGTGGATGACCTTACTATTCTTTTAGTTGGTCAATAAAGGGAGAGGAGGGATGAGAGTCATCTAAATGAAGTAGAGTATTTGAGAGTTTTGTTGATGTTATTTTTTAAAGTATTTTTTTTATTTGAAATAATATATTTTATATATTTTTTAAAATCAGCCCATAAAAAAATAAAAAATTATTTAAATGTTAATAAAAAATAGTTTTCAATCTCAAAGCTGATTAGAAGCGGCACTGATCCCTTCTCCTCAATCCTCTCAAGGATTGACTCGCATCCCTTTATTTTTCTATTTGTAATTATCAATGTTTAAAATTGGATGGATTGATTGGGATTTTTCCTTTATTGTAGGCCAAATAATGAGATGCGTGAAGAGCCATCTATCCTTTCTCCCCTGTCCTTTCCGCTTTGCCCAATCCATCCCTCGTAACAGACATGGCTGAAATGCTGCTGGAGCCAAAAGCAGGGGAGAGGTTGATGTCTGCTATGCATAGAGGTGGTAGGGTGAGTGGTGACCGTGTTGATAGAGCCGTATACAAGGACATGTATTCTACCACCAACTTGTTAAAAAAAAAAAGATCACGTATTTCAACGGACTGGAAGCTAGACTTGGTTTTATGAAATAAGTTAAAGCCTCTACATATACTCGTAGAAAGTAATGCTTCTTAAAATAAACGTCCTTGTTTTGGCATATTGAATCAGATTATTATGATTGCTACCACCAACTTGTTTATTTTTATATTTTAAAAATATTTTTTTAAAAATATATTTTTTATTTTTTCTTCATTCAAATTAATATTTTTTTAAAAAATATTTTTTTTTTATTTTTTTTTCGCTTTAAATTAATATTTTTTTAAGTTTTAAAATTATTTTAATATGTTGATATAAAAAATAATTTTTTAAAAATAAAAAAAATATTATTTTAATATATTTCTAAATAAAAAATAATTACAATTATTCTCCCAAACGATCTCTACTTTTTTGTACAAAAAGAAGAAGAAGAGGATCAAAGCATATAGGAGAAACTATTTTCTGGTATTTTTACTGGAAATGACAGCGGAGGTTGGACTCGGGTATGTAAGAGGATTCTAACCATTTTTTCGGCTCCTCTACCTGACGAGTAATATTTTGTTCAGCCCTTTGATCTCTCTTTGGACCTGAGGCATCATTCGGTAACATATGATGATGGTTCTTTGGAACCGAAACATGATTTGAAAAGAATGCTAGTTGGGCTGGAAACGAAAACATCTTAGCCGGGAAACATGAATGAGAAATTACAATATTTTTTTTTATATATTACAAAAATTAATTGCAAATCCAAAGGTTAATGCATATATTTAATTAATCAGTTGTAAATAATCTTAAATAAAATTGAATACTTGTTATGCTACGCTACGGATCAAATAAAATTTCTTTTAACAGTTAAAAATTTATAGAAATGCTAGGAGAGTTAAAATTTGATGCATATTGGATGATTTATTTTTAAGATATTAAGATGATCATATATTAAATTAAATTGAGCTAGCTTTATTAAATTATAAAATTCATGATTAGAGTTATGAGAATACAAATTAAAATAAATTACAAATTTTAATTTCAATCAATCAAATAATAATGAAAAACAATTAATTTTATAAAAGGAAAAAAATATTCAACTAATAAATATATTTTTTAAAAAAATAGAGGACTCGAGAAAACCTAAATTAACAGGCCAAATTTATCCCATAAATAAAAAATAAAAAAACTAGTTCTTAACCAAGTCATTGTCAAAGTATGAGATTGTAAAAAAAATAAAATTAAAATGCCAACAAATAAATTAGTCCAAGTCATTTCAGGTTAATTTATCAAACTCATAAATTAGGTTATAAAATCAGAATAATTTTATAAAAAATAAATTAAAAAAATTACTCTTTTTTAAAACAAGTTAAGCGATAATTTCTTTTTTCTATTTGAAAATAGTCTAAAACCAAAAATATTAGTTTATATTAAAAAAAACAAATATTTGATTTTATTTAAATGAATTTTTCTTAAAAAAATAAAGGAAAGTTCTTTTATAAAAGAGCCTAACATATTGAACTTTCATAGACATTTCTAGGCTAAAATTGAAGGGAAGGGTCACGCGCTTATCTTTTTAAAAAAATTTATAAGTTAAGCAGATAACCGTATTGTTTGTTTAATATTTTTTTAAATGCATTGTCTGCAACCTTAGTTTTTAGTGACACGAGGGTTGGAGTATTTGATGCCCAAAAATCAACCCTTTTTGTTTAGTTAGAATACATTAAAAAAAAATCATTGAACCCTTGAAAAATCTATATAAAACATCAAACAACTTAAAAATTGATCAAAAAATCTAAAATTAACTTAATTTCAAAAATTTCAAAACTCAAATTTATCATCTTAGACAAGAGAAAGGATAAGACTACCTAGGTAAAAGTTATTTCATCAAATGGAATTTATTACCACAAAAATTATCCTTTTTCGTAGTTAAATTTCATAGTAACCAAAACTTTTTTTTCATTTGATAGTAAAATCTAACAACATTTTCTTTTCTTTTTCTATCAAACTAAGGATATAAGAATTTAAAAAATAAAATTTTGAATTAAAATTAGATTCATGAAAAAATAGGGAACTGAATAATTTATAATTTGAAAAGTTGAATGATGAAAATAATTTTTTCTTGCTAATTCTGAAACAACAAACCATCTTTTTATTTTTCAATCTCTCCCTTGCTTAACAAATTTATTTAAATTAGCTTTTAATTTTTTCAATGAAAACAAAAACATAAAAAACATAAAAAAAATAGCATTATCACAATTTATAATGCCTTGTGTCTTGGTCAACAATGTAGTTTTCATAGTGATTTGGCCACACAACCTCGTTTTTTTATAATGGTGGGTTAATAGGGTCCTATTGTCATTCGGTTTTGGATAGCTTCAGGATTTTCTTTTTTATAATTATATTTTCCAACAATGCATTGGTCCCTTCCAATCCGAGCCCACTTTACCATCCCACATTGTTAATCAAGTGATTTTATACTTTGCTCTTTGGTTGCATAAATGCTTATTGACTCTAGCAAAACAAGTTATCTATGACATCATGAAAATGTAGAAATGACTGTTCAAGATTGTACTAAAGATTATTTTTTATTTAAAAATATGTTAAATAATATTTGTTTATTTTATTTTTAAAAATCTATATCAGTACATTAAAATAATTTTAAAATACTAAAAAATATAAAAAAAATAGATTTGGATGAAAAACAATTTCAAACATAATAGCAAACACCCCTAAGATTTTCTTTATTGCATTAAACTCAAACTCACAAGCAATGATGCGTGCAAGTATGAAAGTTGGGGAGATAAACATGTCAGAGCCATAATAAATCAACTGACATTAAAAATACTCAATTCTCTTAAAAAAAATCCTTATTTAATTTTGGGCTACATACTTATATAATAATATATAGAAAAATCCAAAAATTTTAAAACATTTTTTTTCATTTCAAAAACACAAAAAATATCTATGGTGAAAAATTAGTGCCGACAAGCTATGAGTTTAAATAACAATAAATTTTTTTATTGATAAATCTAAAATCTTGGTACTGTGACATCTGCTTTTATATTTTAATAAAATTATTAGTTTAAGAAAATTAATTAACTCCATCAGAAGTTTTATTGTTTACTTAAAAACGTTTTTAAAAGAAATCGAATATTGACCCACCTTGTTTGAAAAAACAAATCTCTAGCTGCATCAAAGCATTAACTAAACCCTAGTTCATTTAAATTAGATCCTCAATGATTAATCATCTTGCCGAGAAGAGACCTTCGAGCTATCATAATTCCTGGAATCTAAGCTAGGGGATGCCATTAATGTAATGTGTAACTTTCACGATAGTTGGGCTCAAAAGGGTATTAAAATCGCACCACATGGCATGTTTATCAGCACATGGAGGAGAAGGTTTTGGTTTTAAAAAACATGGTCAAAGTTCGTGTTCGTCGACCAAGTTGTGCTATTAACTGCAATCAATGACAGGAGACAGGAGCTATTTATTCATCGCGGAGGATTTTTTTTTTTTTTTTTTTTGTGGGACAACTCCAGGCCACCGGGACAAAATTAACGAGGCAGGAAGGTAACTTCCTTCTTTATTGCATTAAACTCAAACTCACGAGCAATGATGTGTGCAAAGCATGAAAGTTGGGAAGACAACCATGCCAGAGCCATAATAAGTCTACTGCCCATTTTCCTTGCACATCATGCACGCTAATAACGAGAGGGGGGGTCTTTGCTCATGATGCACTGTAAATTTTAAGTAGTTTGAGGCCAGATTTATATCTTAAATAATTAAATTGTTTTATTCTAGTAATTTGATTTATTTTTGTTAGTTAAGATAATTGAAATCATGTGTTCGATACTTATAAAATGTTTTTTAAAAAACATTGGGGTTTTCCCTTGGCTGAGGCCAATGAAAGTTGGGTCCTTCCCTATATCGAATCTAATTAAAGAAAGTTGGGTTTTATGAGAGGTTTAAGATCCTTAAATTTAAGTTTATTACTGTCATGTTTGAAGTTAATTTTGATTCCTCTTGTTAATTAATTATAGAAGTTTTGGGTTATTTTATGTTTCTAGTTTTTAAAACATGGTTTGCTAATCCTTCTCTTTTATTTTCTTTTCTTTATATAAATGACATAATGCATAAATCCATAACTATGTATAAAAATATTTTTTTAAAATAAAATATTTTTATAGGAAATTACATCCTTTGTGCTATATAACATTATAATATGGTCATTCTATAAAAAAAGTAATATTATAATATGGACAAATGCTAAAATGTAGTCCTACCTAATCTTTGTCTTTTTTTTCTTTCTTATTATTTTTTCCCCGATCATTAATATAATCCAACCCCGTTCTCTCTCTCTCTCTCTCTCTCTCTATATATATATATATATATATATATATATATATATATTTGAGAACAAAATTAAAAAATCGATTTTTTCAACTCCAGTTATTGATTTTTTGGTCATCATTAATTATAAGTGGTAGGGGGGACACATCTCAAAATAAGGATTTACTCTTAAAATGATTATTTATGTTTCTTAATGACCTCATTTATTTATGGGGCAGTAGGAAAACCCATTAAATATTTGAAATGTTTGTATATTTTTCTAGATCCAGGAAATTGATAGAGTACAAAAGGCTTGTTTGAAAAAACAGGTATACATTATATTTTTTAAAATTTTAAATTTATTTTATAAAAAAATACTTTTTATATTTTTCAAATTATTTTGATATACTGTACTTGGAAATAATTTTTTAAAAATAAAAAATATTATTTTGATATATTTTTAAATAAAAAATACTTTAAATAATTCTATATTTTAATATATTTTTAAAATCTCAAATATATATTAGAAGAGGTGGTACACCAAAATACCCAATAACAAATAGATGCAAAACAATATTCAAAACTGATTCAAACAACCATTATTGCTTTTGAATACATGACAAAATAAATACATGTTCTAGCTTACATGCAAAGCACTTAAATGAGGTTTTGTTGCAGTGAAAGCTTTAATGTCTGTTAAGGAATCTTGCAACAATGTTGTTAACTTGCTTCTTCACTAGTTCACTGGGATGATGTGTACAATGAAAATTTATGCTCATAGTGTTGTGTGTTTGTGGCAATGTTAGTCTTTGTTGCTCGTCTTTAAGCCCTATATATGAAGGTAATAACTTTTTTTATTTGTTAAGTTTTTCTTGCTTTGCAAATTTGAATTCTATCAATTTCTCTTGCCATTGCAGAAACGAGGAAATAGAAATCTAGCAAAAAAATAAAATAAAATTGGACAATTAAAATATGCTATTTAAAACAATCACACCACTTTAAAAAATCCATCAAAATTTCATTAAAAAACTCAAAAATAACTTAAAAAACTATTTTTTTTTGTTTTTTTTACTTTAGTTAATCGAAACAAAACAAACTAAAATTGATTGCTTTAAACTAATTTTAATTTTTAATTTTTAAAAATAAAAAAATAAATTGATTGTTTATTTAAAAAAAACAAATAAAAAATATTCAACCGTGTCTTCAAGAAATACGTTGGCCAACATGTAAAGCATGTTAAAATCCTTTTCAATTGAACTCTTATAACTTAAAAAAAAAAAAAAAAGGCTTTGAGAAAACTATCCTTTTAATTCTTTCACCATTTATATATATATATAATATACGCGGCATAATAATGATGATTATAAAACAATAACATCTGTTTGCAGTTATATATAGATGACAACCTAATTGAATTAGAAAGCCAGCCTTTGTTAATTTGTTGGTTACGTGCAACTTTATACTAACGGTAATAAATTTCGATTTTACCGTTAAACTGAAATTTTTACTACAATTATCGATTTCTGTAAAATCCAAAATTTAGGGTCTGAGATTTATTATATTTTACTAGTTTTTTTTCTATTTAATTTATATTTTTTTCAGTTTTGTTTATGATATTTTTTTATAGTGTATAAAGAACTTAGAATAGCTGTAATATTAAGTTTTTTATAGAAAAAATATTAAATAATTAAAACTTAAATTATAGTTGTTGTGGTGTAACTCTTTTCAATAAAATTCTGTATTTTTATATCTGCTTTATACATTTCATGTGTAGAAGTTAGAGCCTTTTATTTTGATAGCATGTAGGAATGTAAATATGTACCCGTGAGTTAGATTTTTTAATATTTATATCTTATCACAAAATTATTGAGAATTTTATTAATGAGACTTATTTTGGAAGCAGTTAAATGGTTAAAAAAAGAAAAAGGAAGCATCGGAGGTGCATTTAGAAAATCCAAAAACTCATGGGCTCCATTAAAATTAACTTGTAGAATTTTCTAGGGTCTACGAGGGCTCCAGCATGGCACCAGATGGGCTAAGCTAGTTAGCGTGTCCAATATTGACCTGGGAAATTGTTTTTGCTATTTCTTGCAGCCATACCCATGGTCAGCACAAGTTGCTCGGAGTTCTTTCGAATTCTAACATGGTTACAAAAATAAAATAAAATAACACAGCATGTAAAATATTCAGAGAAATAATATAATTTATCATGTATAGTAAATGCGAATATTAAAAAACAGAAGAAACACGATGAGATTTCAATGATAATATCATCGATATTAGTAAAAAAATCACAAAAAAATAATAATTTAACAATATTAAAAAAATCACAAACTATAATTGAAATGGATCACATAAGTAGTATAAAGATAAGTAACTCTTAACACTTATAAACGACTCGCGTGGTCTACTTCTTTATTGTTTGTAATATTTTTTTGGTATTGTTGAATTTATTTTATCAAGATATTTATAATGATGCTTGTGTAATTACTATTAAAACTTTAATATGCCTTTAAAATCATTTTATTTTATTTTTATTCTTTTCTTCTCCTATCTCTTCACAAATTACAAGGAGAGATGAGAAGGAAAAAAGAAAAGAAAAGAAAAAAATACTTGAAGCATTCTAAAATTTTAATGATGATATTGTTAATATCAGTGAAAAGATCTTGACAAAACTGATACAATGATATCAAAATATAATTAAAAATAATAAATAAAATAAATTACACGAATCATTAAAAAATGTTGGTTTTAATGTTAGGGTTCATTTAACTTGAGCCTGTTTGTATAATTTATTTTAATTTAATAATAATTTTTTTTGATGTTGTTATATTATTTTTTTAAAAAAATTTATAATAATATTAATAATGACATCATTGAGTTTTGGTTTGTCTTGAGAGTTTTTTTATCTCTGTTTTTTTTTTAATTAAATCTTATGTGCTCGTGGATTGCAAATATCGTTTATAACTCTCTAAACTTTCCTCTTTCTTTAAATATTTTTTACAATGTATTAATTTATTGATTTTTTTTTACCTTGCTAGAATCCGAGAGAACTAGTCACTCGTGGCTCTGTTCCTTATGTTATCCGAGTTGAAGTCTCTTGTCTCCACATTATCGTAAGCAGACGTGACAATGTGATGATCCAAATTCACTGTCCGAGAAAATCATTTTTTTTCCTTTCCCCTCTCATCAGCCATGATTTCCTCAATATTATTGCTCTTCACTATTTATCAACCAATGCTTCAGAGATAAGTTAACGTTGATTTGAGTGATAATTATTGAAACAAAGTCATTGATCCGCTCCAGACAGCGGGCCCAATTCAACGAATTAGTTGGAGCTCAGGTGGCTGGTCTTCACCTACTGTAATAAATAATAATAATAATATTCCACTTGAGAGAATTAGAACAGAGAAGTTTGCTCATGGAAGAACGCAAATGGAGAACAGGCGGTCAAGATGGGCAATTAATCAAGGGCTCAAAAGCTTCCCCTTCTCAGGTTTTATCCTCCATCGCAATCACGAGAGCCTGGTTTCAGCAAGAGGGTCCCAACATCTGGCCCGCCCCATGAGCTCTGCCACCCAAGCACGTACAGCTGCACGTGATTCACCGGAGGCTCCTTGCCATGAGCACATAAGCACCAAATGAAAATGAAAGTGCCCTTTCCACCGCTCTCTGAATATATTTGATCACAGTTGCCATTACTTTTTCACCACCAGTGAACGGTAATGGCAATCAATAACGACAACAGACAAAGAAACTGCAGGAAAATGATGGTATTAAACTTACTGGTTAAAAAAACTGTACAGTTTTTCCAATCCTTTTGCTTCCACTATAATTACATTTGTCTTACTTGATAAAAAAAGAAGAAGATAATAATGCATAGGCAACTCAACAAAACCAAAAGGCCAGAAAAGGGTGGCAAAAGTTGGCGTTTTTAAGCATTAAGCTTTGATTTATCGAGCTCTAATCCATGTGGTCTGTCAGTTAAAGGGAAGGCCCCATTATGAATTCTTTTAATTATGTACAAGAGGAAAATGAGTAGAGAATGTAAATGCTCCGGGGGGGGAGAGAGAGAGAGCAAGTGGAGAGAAGAAGATTAATATCCCTTTAATTTTTAAGATATTTTAAAATAATATTTTTTATTTTTTAAAATTTATTTTTGATATTAATGTATAAAATAAAATAAAAATAATAATAATTTTTTTAAAATTACTTTTAAACGTAAAAACAAATAAACTTTTAATCCGGTTTGTTTTTATAGATATGATATTTTTTTTGGAAAAAAGAATCCTTTTGCTTTTCTTCTATGTAACGTGTAGTATAATAACCAGTCTTTTTCCAGCAAACATCCAGCTGCCGTTTCTTCATGGTCTCCCCATGTTACTCAAGCTTTCTCTTCCTTCTCTGATCTCTATCCATCCCTAAATATACTAAGCGAGTTTATTTTTTTGGTTTTGTTTTTATGTAATTCATTTGGTGAAACTAAGTACAGAGTCACCGACATTGACAAATCTAAGCAAATCTAAGTCCTTTCTCTCTCCCAGTATCTTTGCAACATATATAGCTTCTGGCAGCAAAAAGCAGCGTGCCCAGATCAAATTGAAGTGTAAAGAAGCTAGCTTTGGAGCATTTTGGAAGATGGGGTCTTGAGTTTACAAAGGTACTATTGTTTTTGTACTGTCTTCATTCTTTTCGCATACTAGCAAAGAAGTTCCAAAATTGTTAGATTTTAGCGTGCTTTTATTGGTAAAATGAGGGACTTTCCTTCTTGTTTTGGTGAAAGTGGCGTTCAAGTAGCTGATTCATCAAGTACAACAAAAGCTGCTCAAAATTTGGTCGCTTGTGTCTATCAATGTAAATTACATGGCCGTTCTTGTTTAATTACTGTTACTTGGACCAAGAATCTCATGGGTCAAGGTGTTGGTGTTGCAATTGATGATTCAACAAGTCAGTGTCTTTGTAAGGTTGATATAAAGCCATGGTTGTTCTCTAAAAGAAAAGGGTACAGGAATTTAGAGGTAGCTTCTGATAAGGTTATTATATATTGGGACTTGTCCAATGCTAAATTTGGTTCTGGGCCAGAACCTTTGGAGGGTTTCTATTTGGCCATTACTTTTAATCAAGAAATGGTGTTACTTCTTGGGGACATGGCGAAGGAAGCGTACAAGAAAATTGAAAGTGATCCAGTGCACATTAATGCCATTTTTATTGCTAGAAGAGAGCATATTTTTGGGAAGAAGTTTTACGGTGCAAAAGCTCAGTTCTGTGACAAGGGTCAGATGCATGATGTTACTATTGAATGTGATACAATTGATCTTAAGGATCCCTGTCTTGTGATCCGCATTGACAGTAAGATGGTAATGCAGGTTAAAAGACTGAAATGGAAGTTCCGCGGCAATTATACTATATTGGTGGATGGCCTCCCAGTTGAAGTGTTTTGGGATGTTCATAATTGGCTTTTTGGAAATTCTATGGGTAACGCAGTTTTCATGTTCCAAACTTGCTTACCGGCAGAGAAATTATGGAAAAGCCAATCCACTCTTGATCCCTCTGTACTGACCTGGTCGTGCTTGCAGAAATTCAGAGACTGCCAATTACAAGGTCTTGGTTTCTCCCTTACATTGTATGCTTGGAAGAATGATTAATTTTTTTCCCACTGTCCGAGTCGTGATAGATAGGTTCTGCAATGTTTTTCAAGAATGTTGTGATATAGATACAATTGTTTGCATTTGGAAGTTCCTTTTTTCCCTCTCCCCTCTTCAGCTAACTAGTATTTTATGATCACACTAACCAGTTTCTCTTAATCATTTGCTTTTAGGGATTTAGCCCAAGCAGTGATGTTTTAGATTTTGTGTTATAAACTATCCATGGGTGCTACCAACATGATATCTTTGTGGAGCACTGCAGTAAGATTGTCCTTTGTGTACTCTCACGACAGCTTTTAATATTTGCGAGAACCATAACTTTTGTTGTAAAGAGATGAGATGCAAGCTAACCTGTTCTAATTCCTAGATTGCAGCAGGTATGTACATCTTTAACGTGGGATATGAGGCGACTTATGAGGCAATAATTCCTTGCTCTGTTTGTATGTGTGCAGCCCTACTTGCTTATCATTTTCTTTTTATTTCTGGTTCCAGACTAGCTGTGTCAAACCAATTTCATATGGTTCTGACAAGGAGATGGCAGGCACTCCATATACAGTGAGTTAGTATGTTACAGGCTTTTAAGACTCTGAACCTCACCCTTTTATCTTGTAGATCACAAATTTGAGATCAAAATGTGGTTGAAAGATGCAGGATAGGTGAATTTGATGTAAAAGAAAAGGGCGAGATTGAGAATCTTAAAAACCATGTTCTAAGTTACTGTATATGGAGCAATGAACTAGTAGTGTGTCTACACAGTTGCCCTTCTGTGTGAATGATCACTGTTCAACAATGATGATGCCGCTCCCAATTCTCAAATGCGATACAGCACTAGTTGCCCTTCCATATGTGTGTCATGTACTTGTTTTTCTGTCATAAATGGAAACCCTCGCAGCTTTCTAGCTTTTTGATTACCACAGCCCCGAGGGAGCAAGCTGTTCGATAATATACGCATCTCCGAAGAAAAAAACGAGCCTCCTGGATTTGGGTGTTTTTTCAAAAGAACACTATTCCAAAAAGAAGCTTTGAAAAAGCAGTAAAAGCTTGGAAAAAAGAGGAAAATAACACAATTGGTCGGGCTGTTTCTAACAGTGAAACTCTATTTTCTTAAAATTATTCGCATGATAAAACTAATTTTTTAGGCACCGTTTGGAGTTTGCGGTACCATATGTGTTAAATGTGTGTAGCTTGATAAAAAACTATTATGATTTTAGATATAATTGTTGGATTAAATTTAAACTTTATCAAGTGATTTTAAGGTTTCGTTGTAGCAAGTTGAGGTTTGAAAGGCCCTCAAAAAGATGTTTTTGCTATTTTATCTATTTTCTAAAATAATTTTGAATTTTAATTACTTTTTATACTCACCTTTAATTAAAAAAATTCATAAATATTGATGAACCAAGTATTTTATAGTATTTTATATTATTTTAATGTGTTGATGTTAAAAATAATTTTTTTAAAATAAAAAAATATTATTTTAATGTATTTTTTAAAAAATAACACTTTAAAAAATAATACATTACATTCTTAAATACCCTTTTATTTTTTTAATATTGGTTATTTTGATGAATAAGCATTATAAGGTCTATTTTCAACATTGTTTGGTTTTTCATGAACAATTTTGTTTTTAAGTTGCACCCCTATGAAGAGTGCAATCCAGTGGATCGTGCTATTCCCAGCAACGCAGGCAATGAAGACAGGTCATTTTCTCCGAAAGCTATTTTTTCAATCTTTTTTTATTTTGAAAAGGCTTTATTTTTTAAATTCAAAATAATTTTCTAGTGCAGTATCCAGGGTAGTTATTTTAGTCGGAGTTTGAAAATATAGGTTTAAAGAAAGTCATAAATTATTATTTTTTTAGTTATTTTTTAATTAATATTTTTTTAAAGAGAGTTTTAATCAAATTTATTTAAAATTATGATTTATTGATTAATTAAATATTTTTAAATTTATAATTACAGTAAATCACATGGTGCATGTAAACTATGGTTATTAAATATTTAAAGGATGTTTGAGAATATGTAGCAATGATTATTTTTTAAAGTGTTTTTATTTGAAAATATATTATTATAATATATTTTTTTATTTTTTAAAATTTATTTTTAAAATAATTAAAAAGTGCTACAAAATTATAAAATTTAAAATTTAAAAAAACATTTATAATAATTGTTAAACAAGATGAGTGATAGTCTTTTAAGAGCTTGTTTGATAATATAATTGTGATTAAATTTTAAATAATTTTTCATGTTAATATATTAAATAATTTAAAATATTTAAAATATATTAATTTAAAATAAATAAAAATATTTTTAAAATACAGAAACAAATAATAAAGTAAAAGCAGAGTCGTGACTCGGTAACCTGTAAAACGAGGGCTGCCCACAGTAGCGAGCTTATATATAAATTAGCAGGAAAAATACTAAGTGGGTTGTCTGTCCCCAACGAAATGGGAGCGAGCTGGTTGAATTGTTTCAACTTTGAAGATTTGAGACATAAAACAATTGGCAAAGTATTTGCTTGGCAACTTGATTAAGCCTTTCCAGCTTGGACACCGTGGCAAATTATAAGCTGGAGGCAACTGAATTCGATTCACTTGATTTTCTTTTATTTTTATTTAAGATTTCCATGTTTAATTGAATTTGTTTTTCTCCCCGGAGAAAGATTTTCAAACATAACTATCAAAACTCTTGTTATGAATTAAAAAAGAAAAAGAAAAAAGGAGACGAGTGAGCCTCTTAATTTAACCTTTTCATTTTCTCACACACTGATCTAGTCATGCTCATTTTTAATTTCTATTTTTTCTTAACGTAGCTTTGCTCTTTTCTGAATTCTTTGTTTTTTAATAAAAAAATTACACTATTTAAAAAAATAACAAAATAACGTAGTTTAATTATTATTATTTTTTTGAAAAATAGCACAAATTGATACTTATAATCAATGAAAAATATAATATTTCAAATAAATGGTTGAATCAGCTAGCACAAAGAGGTGAGAGAGAGAAAAATATTGTCTATTTTAAGCTTGTTTGTGGTTATAATTGATGTTTAAATAATTTTTCATGTTAAAATATATATTAATAATTTTTTTATTTTTTAAAAGTTTTTGTTTATATTATTATATTAAAATAATTTTAAAATACTAAAAATATATTAATTTGAAATAAAAAAACTTATTTTTTTAAAAAATACTTTCAAAATACAAAAATAAACAGTTTTTTCATTGTAATTATTCCCTTGCTTTTCGGGGAACAAAATGATCTATTCTAGTCAATATTGATGTTATTTTTTTAGTTTTATTAAATTTATTTTATTGAAATATTTTTATAATATTTATGATGGTGTAATTATAATTTTGATGAATTTTTTTCTCTTCTCGTTATAATTTATGTAAGTTTTTTTAATAATTTATTTGAAATGTTATAAAATCATGATAACATTTAACAAATATTAGTATGTGCTGAAAAAAAATATATAGCTATATTACTTTACTACTATTTTATTCAAACAATACTAATAAAGAAAATACCGGAATTCTTGCAGCATCTTTATTAATCCAGTTCAAGGGAGTTCACGTGTCTCGAAATCAAAATTAAACGTTATGAAAATTGTCTTTTTTTGAGACTTTTCTTTTTTTTTTTTTGTCATGCAATTAGTTCTCATGAAGATGATAACACTCTCTTTGCCTCATCGACCCTTCATTTTCAGGAAATGACATAAACCAGTTCTTAAAATATCCAAACTTTTTTACTGTTCAGACTTCACAGACCCATAAAAATGGGAACTCTCTTCTTCCCTCTCTCCCTCTGCTGTCCACCAAGTCTGAGACTGAGATCCAATCAGTACTCCTCTTCAAGAACCCATCCCTCAAAACCAATTTCATACCCTCAAATCGCCTTGATCACTTCCAGGTCCAACAGATTCAGAGGCAAAACTGTAGTTTTTGGAGGGAATTCAAGTGACATCCCAAATGATTCTCAGTTTCTAGATGAAAATGGAGCTGTTGATGACATGGATGGCTATCTCAACTATCTTTCCCTCGAGTATGACTCTGTTTGGGACACCAAGCCATCATGGTAATTCTCTTCTTCTTCATTTCATGTTAGTGTTACTTTCTACTTTTCTTCCTAAATGTTTCTATCATTGCCTCCGCTGCTGAATGATTGCCATGCTTCACTACTTGATATGAAACTTCAAGAGATGGCCTGCTTTTCTCGTCTAGTGATAACCGACAAGTCATCCCCAGGGATGGCAGATATTTCTAGCGGTAAATGACGAGTCGTTTTAACGATACACCGGTCATTCATTCATGGGAGTGATGGCAATCTTTGCAATGACAAACATGCTTCCGTTCTTTGTATACCTTTTCCAATTCCCAGCAATCTTTCTTTGTTTTCGTTATGCATTACTTCAGCATGTGTGTGCTTGTGTTACTTATGAAATGATCGCCTTTTTTCATGGATTTGTTACTAGGTGTCAGCCGTGGACAATAACACTGACTGGAGTATTGGTCATTGCTGGTAGCTGGTTGATTTTTCACTCGGTTGTTGTTACAACAATTGTACTCTTATTAATATGCACCTGGTGGTACATTTTTCTGTATTCTTATCCTAAGGTACGAATGACTCTATATCTTAATCGATGTTCGCTTGATGCACGTATTGTATCAACGAAAGGATATGCTTAAAGGTTCTTGAGTTATTGGTTTATCTGTGAATTTTCAGTGGAATATGCGTGGTTGTGTGTTTTTAAAAGTGGAATAAAATTACACGCCTAGCAGGAGAGATGCGAGGTTGAATAGACATTGAGAAAATGCCATTTGGGAAGGATATCCTTACAGGGGCTTGAGATATCATTATGTGGATTGTCATTCATGGTAGAGTTAGTCAAGAAACACATTGGGAGAGACTGAAGTTCTCGAAGACTTTGGCATGATGTGAATTGTGATGCATAACATGTAGTCATTTCATATTCTTGAGTTGTTTACAAATTGTGGTCATTGAGCCTCTCTTTCTTTGCATTTGTATTTGTTATCGTCTTACCATTTTACTCTTCTCTCAGAAATACAATGACAGAAATATAGACTCGGAAATACAATGGCAGAAATATAGACTTGAAATTCTCAGATAGGCCAATAAAGTGAATATATGTTTGTTTTTTTTTGCAGTTTCGGGACATAAAGCAGAACATAGACAATCTGTCTGGTTCTCTTAAGGAACTTATAGCTGATTAAGATTTATGTCTCACATTTTTCTTATGAAAGTTATCCAGAATATTTGTAGAATGTGCTATATAGTAAACTGTTTATTCTGCTGAGAGAAATGTATAGCGTCTTAATTCTGTAATTTTTGACAGGTGTATGCAGACATGATCGCTGAACGAAGAAAGAGGGTGACAAATGGTGTTGAAGATACATTTGGCATGACGAAGAGCCAATGATTTGAACTGTATATATATAGACACACACACATCCAAAATGTCCATTCGTCATCCCTCTCCCCTGATTCTTGTGCGTAATTAGAATTGATAACGTGGCCATGAGTTTTGCGTTATTTAGATATTGTTTTTTATCCATTTGGCTCAATGCTCGAGTAACAGTCTTCGTAACTTTTTCGCTGCATGCCTAAGTCCAGCAAATCATGTTTTTCCTCTGGCCTAGCTCCATCCGAGAGAATCTTTTAACCGTGGTGCTCAATGCTCGAGTAACAGTCTTCGTAATTTTTTTGCTGCATGCCTATGGAGTCCAGCAAATCATGTTTTTACTCTGGCCTAGCTCCATCCAAGAGAATCTTTTAACCGTGTTCTAAATAGCAAAATAAATACCAGAGATGTGTCATGTTTGAGCCCTGATCAGCAGTGACATTGAAGCCTAATATATATGTCGATCATGAATATATATGCTGGAATGTGAACCTTCGCAGAGTGTTGCTAGAAACGAAGGCACTAGTTTGGAGATCTCAAACTTGCATGCGAGCATAAGATGAGGCCACCCTGAATTCTTCTTTTATTTTCTCGTTCGCGTGTTCGATGCTTTAACAGCTTGTTTGGGAAAGCAGTAAATGGAGGGAAGGGACGGGGAGGGAGGTTGATGAGCTCGTAATCTTGTATGGAAAGAAAATTCTTAATAAATGAGAACATGAATGGGAAGTGACATCTTTTTAATCTTATTTTAAAACCTTTATTCCCCTTCAAAGTCTCACCTACAAATGGAATTTTTTGAGATTTTTTGCTATGAACTTGCTATTTTATCCCTTTTTGAAAAAAAAAATATTCTTTTAATAAATAAATATTTTCAATCTTAATTGTCTTCTCATCTTCAGTTAAAAGGGTATTAGAGAGATTTAATATTTACTACCCTTCTTCCCATCTCTTCCCTCCTTTACCTTCCCCACGCTTGTTATAATTTTTTCCAAACAAACTGTAACATGATTTGGAAACAAAGAAATAATTACTTCTTGGATTCACAATGTAACTGGTAATGACTAATAGTCTGTTTGGGAGAGTTTTTGTTTTTTAGGTGTTTTTGTCCTGAAAAAATATTAAAGTTTTATTTTTTTAGTATTTTTTTGATGATTTTAATGTACTAATATTAAAAATTAAAAAAATTATTTTAATATATTTTTAAATAAAAAACTATTTTATAAAAACACTTTTCATATCAAAAGTAAATCCACAATTTACAGCTAGAAATCAAAGTCCCAGCTAACTCTATGTTACAACTGCTTAGAGCGTGTTTAGAAATATAATTATAATTATTTTTGGAAATATTTTTTAAAATTCATACATTAAAATATTTTAAAAATATTAAAAATATATTAATTTAAAATAAAAAAATTAAATTTTTTGAAAAAACTTTTAAAATGTTGTGCTAAACATGCCTGGAGAAGAAATTACTATGTGTAGTGCAGAACCACCATCGAGATCACCAAAACAGCAGAAACGACATGCCAAGATGAAAGACACAGTCGAATGTCAAAGAAAACCTAGGTTTAGTGATTCAATTTATCTTTATTTAAAGGTAATTCTTTCATTTGTTTTATTTTTCTAATTAAGTTAAATTTATCTTTAAATATACATTGAGTTTATATATATATATATATATATATATATTATAATCTATAGTTTTAGAAAAGATTTCAATTAAACTACCGAAATTAATCATGTGATCTGTGCATGTCTATTTTTTAATTTCAAATCTCTTTGTAGGTGGATAAGATAGAAGATTTTTATGTGCAAATCACATAACTAATTCTAGTGGTTTGTCCTGAAAATGTTACCAAAAATATAGATTAAAAACTTAAACATATAAAGTATAAAGTTAGCTCAATTTGTAATGTAGTGTAAGAACATTTAAGAAAATTATTCTATTATATATGTAAACATTAACCTTTTATTTTATTAAATTAACACAATATAAAAAATGAATATCAACCTGGCGTATTTATTTAAAGTGAAGAAAATAATAAACTCAGTTTTAGAAGAAAAAAAATAATCAGCCTAGAGTGCTTATTTAATTTGAAAAAATAATATCATATAAAAAATCATATGATATGATCTAGAAGTATATGATGTTTTTAGAATATAAATGAGATACTTATTAACAAACAATTTAAAATATAAAACAATAACTTAACTTTTAAATGTGAATCAACTTTATGAAATTATCGAGGCACGTACTAATTCTTTGTATTCTCCTCGTATTTATTTTTATTGTGGATACATGTAAAATACGTAATAATGATAAGGACCAAACGAAAATAAAAAGGCTGAGAGAGCTTTTTCACACTGTAAATGCCTTGTTCAGGGTGAGAGGATGTTCAAACCAACTTGCTGAGTTGTGGCAATGTTTTATAGTGCACCACTTATATTTTTTATTGCTTCGTTCGTTAAGGGTTAAATAAAAAAATTTAAATTTAAAAAATATTATGAGTGTAATTTTTTATTATATTATTAAATTTGATATAATAAGTTAATCTTAAAATATTGCAATCTCATTTTTTATCTACCTCGAGTTTTAAACTAAATTATTTGAGAATTAGTCTAAATTATATAAATTAATTTCATGAATCAAAAATAATATGAATAATTGTTAAAAACATAACCTATTTTTAACAAAGCTTTAAAATGATAATTTTTTTCATAGAAACTAAGTAAATTATGTTATGGATTTTATTGAGTTTGATAATTTATTTTTTATAAAATATTTTTTAAATTATATAATAAAAATATAGGGTCACAAAATTAAACATCAATCTAAAAATAAAAGTTTATTTGAGACAGTGATGACCCTAAAAAAATAGAAAAAATACAATTTATTTTTTAACCATTTCAATGTTAAAGTATAAAATCAAAAAAAAAAACTATTAAAAACAATTAATAAAAAAACCAAAAACAATATTCAACCAATAGATAAACTCACTAAACCTATGAACCAAGTAATTCAGTCCAGTATGTCAAGCTTGTAAACTAGGTAAGAACTATAGTGAGATTATAATTTTTTTTCAAAGTTATTTTTTATTTAATTGCACGATAAAAAATATAATTTCAAAATAAAACACCAACTTAATATTGAAATATTGAAATGTTGTAAAAAAATTAAGCGATAAAAAAATATCAAAATATTTAATTTCATAACACATGTAACTTATTTTATTGTGTTTAATGAATTTATATGTTAAAATAAAACTGCAATAGAAAAACACATAAAAATTGTAATAGAAACTAATACACACATATAAAATTTATTAAATTAAAACAAAAACAAAAATGTAAGGCTGCACATATAAATGTTTTTATAGAGAATCAATAATTTATAAAAAATAATCTATATAAAATAAAATAAAATTATGATAGATAAATCATAACTGACACTTTAAAAATGAAACACACTCAATATCATTAAAAACTCACTACAAGTTAATTAAAACATTAACCCAAATTTTATTTGAAAAAAATCGGTCAATGCATTATTTTTCTTTTAAAAATAAAAATTACTTTCAAAATAAAATTAAAAAAAAAATCGGGTCAGATACTGCTAGACCTCATAGGCTAGCCTGGTGCTTGACCCATTCAAGCAACAAACTGAGTGCGGCCCTACAAGAACAGGCCAAACACATAGGCCTATGTATTTTTTTAAGTTTAATGGGTAAACGATGCATCGTTTATTCATTTCTATAATTTGACCACTATAACGGCTGAAAAAATAAGATTCTCCGTGTTTTTTCACCTACAAATTTATTTTGAACTCATTTTTGGTTCAAATCACATGAGAAACATCATAGATATTTTGTTAAATCAATTTATGGCCTTGAAAAACGTACAAAATCACTCCAAAACTTGAAATCCATTCGAAACAAAAAAACTTCCTGGTCTCATATTTGATTTTTAGATGTTTTCAATGTAAAAATACACTTAATTTTAACTCCACTCGTCATATAAAATCATTTAATATTAAAAAATGTTTTGGTAGCAAGATTTTTCACCAACAAACATTTTATTTTTTTAAGTTGGAATCTAACCATCTTTTATCTTTTTCAATAAAAAAATAACTGAAAAAAATAAAATAAAATTTAATATCAAAATTATAAAATTCAATATCAAAATTAAATTTTATAAAATTTAAAGAATCAATTATTTGATAGATAAAAAAGATGAAGACCTTAAATGCATTTTTTATATAAATTTTTAATGCACCGCTCGTGTTACTTTTTATTCACTTCAACCCTTTTATTTTAATTCAACTCTTCCTTGCAAAAAAAAAAAAATGTGTAATTAAGCTTTGTATTCAACTCTTCCTTGCAAAAAAAAAAAACGTGTAATTAAGCTTTAATTTGATCTAGAATGACTAAGTTATTTAAAAATTAGTACGAGGATCAAGTTAAATAAATTAAAAATTATATTTTTATAATTTACAATAAAATATAAGAGAGTAAACAATGTTTATGTGAAAAGTAAACACCACACACATTTTAACTTCAGGTGCACGTGTATGTATAAGAAGACAATAGCATTTATTATATTTTTGCTTAAAATTTATTATTTTAAAAAACATATTAAGTAAATGATTATTTTTTAAGTCTATTGCATTGCTCAAGTTTTTTTTTTCTAATTAATGAAGTTTTAAAATTACGATTATAATTTGTATGGCTAGTGACTCAAATCGATTTCAAATAATTTGATGAGTTTCACATTTTCAAGTGGATTTTTAATCTAAATCCCGCTTACCTAAATCTAATTTTCCCTTTACTTTATTTGGGCTATATGATTTTTCTTTACCATTTCAATTAGATTTGAATCATCCCATATTATTTAATAAATTCAATTATATATATATATATATAACTTTTTTATTCCTCTCAAAATCATTTTCATAAACAAATAATATTAACACAAGTATTGTTGTAGCTTTTGCCGATGTATTCTTTTTTAAATATGTAAAAAAAGGTAATTGTAATTTTTTAAAAATAAATTTTTTAAAATATATGTGTTTGATTAAAATTATTGTGTGATTAGTTGTTGGGTGCAAAACAAATAAAAAAATATTTTCATAAAAAAAATTATGTAATTATAATTTCTATAAAATTAAATTATATACAAGATCTAATATAAAAAATAAAATTATTTAATTAACAAAATAATCTTTTTCATGGTAATTAAAAAAAGAAGAAGCTGCACACTGCCAAACAGTCTTGAAAAAGGATCAACATCCGTTTTGAACCTTTGGCTGTCTATAGAGCCCACAGACCACAGCCTACCCATTTGAAGAAAAGAAAAGTACAGAAACACCCACCATCCAGGCATCGTCCACTGCACGCGTTTCGACTTCATCATTCGCCATCAACCCAGCGGACTCAAACCCTAAGATGGATCTCCTGAAGCAAGAGCTCCTCAAGAAACGCCAAACCCTAGCCCAAGATACCGGCGGAAAGAAATTCTTCAAGCGATCCGAAATCCAACAAAAAGAAATCCAAAAACTCCGCGAACAAGAAAAACGCGAACTTGAAGCCAAATCCCAACGCCAATCCTCCTCCTCCTCCTCCTCTATCACCTCCTCCACCACCACTACACCAAACTCCAGCGTCGCAGCCTCCACCGCCACCACCACAACAACCAAAAATTCGTCTTCTACCGCCACCACATCCAAACCCCTAACCGTAGAACAAAACATCGACAACCTCGTACTCCCCAAACAAGAAGTAATTCGCCGCTTAAGATTCCTCAAACAACCAATTACTCTCTTTGGTGAAGATGACGATGCTCGTCTTGACCGTTTAAAGTATGTTCTAAAAGCTGGACTTTTTGAGGTTGATAGTGATATGACTGAGGGGCAGACCAATGATTTTTTGCGCGATATTGCAGAGTTGAGGAAGAGGCAGAAGAGTGGGATTGTGAGTGGGAGGAAGAGGAAGGACAGAGAGGATGGAGGGGGAGAGGATGGGGAGGGAGGGGAAGGGGATGGAGAGCTTGGTGGTGAGTGTGGGGCTGGTGGGGGTGATAATGATCTAGATTCAAAGCGAATGAAGGCCAATTTTGAGGAATTGTGTGAAGAGGATAAGATCTTGGTGTTTTTTAAGAGGTTGTTGAACGAGTGGAATCAAGAGTTGGATGAGATGGCTGAAGCAGAGAAAAGGACGGCGAAAGGGAAGTCAATGGTGGCAACTTTCAAGCAGTGTGCTAGGTATTTGAATCCGTTGTTCGATTTTAGCAGGAAGAAGGTGAGTGCTTTTATTTTTTGTTTTTTCTTTGAATTTTAATGTCACAGTGCAACTGTTCTTTGTGAATTTAGATGTTAGCATGGTGTTTCTGGTTATGTAGCTTTAGTGCTTTCTGTGTGCATGATGCCAATACGTTGTAGATCAGTGCAAATCTTTTTTACCTGCGAGTATAAGCTGTAACTATGCTAATATGTGAGTCTCGTTCATCCGTAATCAATCTAGATCACTAGAGACTTGGATACTGTTTTCCTTTGATATAAAGCAAACTTAACGGGGAGCTAGTAAATCTATTTCAGAAGTTAGGATCCCAGCCAATGAAGATGAGTTCTAGACCTGTGATAATGTTACCGTTAAGATAAGAGATGGTAGCATAATGCGGTGAATATGAGTAATATTGCTCTGTGCAATGCAAAATTTAAGTTCGCAGAAAGCATTATGTGCCTATTACCTAGGCTTATTCCGACTTCCGAGTCTCCTTTGTTTTTGCCCTTCCTCTGTTCATTTGGCCTTATTTTTTGGTCTGCTCTGGGTCCTTTCTGTTTTCTCTGCTGATAACTGTGCTGCACTGTCTCTCTGTTGCATATGGAGATAAAAGGGTGCATCTTATAGAAAGAGTTGTCCCATCATTTAATTTTCAACACCAAAACCTGTACTTAGAATTACAGATAACTGCCATTCATTCAACTCGTGCTGCATTCTTATTGTAGATTCTTCCAAGTGACATTCGCCAAGGATTGCTTCTGATGGTTGAGTGCTGCATGAGGCGAGACTACTTGGCTGCAATGGATCATTATATTAGACTGGCAATTGGAAATGCACCCTGGCCAATTGGTGTTACTATGGTTGGTATCCACGAACGTTCAGCTCGTGAGAAGATTTACACCAACAGTGTGGCCCACATTATGAATGATGAAACAACTCGCAAATACTTGCAGTCAGTCAAGAGATTAATGACCTTTTGCCAACGACGGTACCCAACCATGCCGTCTAAAGCTGTGGAGTTCAACAGCCTGGCAAATGGCAGTGATTTACAGTCGTTATTGGCAGAAGAGAGGGTTTTTGATGGCAATCAACCTTCAGAAGGAAGACTTCGGCTGATGCCTGCTCCGGATGAGAATTAGGTATCATTTGTATGATAGTTATCTTTTTATCCAATGTTTTTAACGGAATATGATGTTTAATGCTTTGGAATACGGTGGTATTTGGACCTTGTATGTTTTTAGTCGATCTTTACTGAGGCTGAATTGCTCACTTAACAAAATTGAAAAATAAGAAATTGACAAGTGGGGATTTAAGAATCCCTCGTAGACCCTTGTACTGACAAGCAGCTTCTGTTAGCTTGTTTGAAAGTGTAAAAGTGTAGTAATAATTGTTTTTGAAATTATTTTTTATTTATAAATATATTAAAATAATATATATATATATATATATATATATTTTAAAAAATATTTTTAATATCAGTATATTAAAATAATTTAAAAATAAAAAAATTTAATTTAAAATAAAAAATAAAAAAATTATTTTTTAAAAAATTATTTTTAAAATATAAAAACAAACAGAAGTTTTCAATATTTTTCTCTAACAAGTGTTTGGTGCAAAGGACTTATTTTTTTTAAGTGTTGTGAAATAAAAATTGGTAAAATAATAGTGCAAGTGTTATCTTTGAATTTTTTAAATTTTGTGTAAAATTTGTAAGATAAGATATAACAAGGAGAGAGGGGGAAGAGAAAAAAAAAATAAAAAAGATTTTGGAGATATATTAAAACCTTGATAATGATAATAGTGATATAGGTAGAAATTTTTTGATAAAATGAATTCATCAACATTAAAAAAAATTATTAATAGTGATAAGAGTTAATACGAGCAGTTTTTAATAATGTTTGTTTATTATTTTATGATTGTTTTTAGTGTTATTAGATTTATTTTGTTAATAATTTTGTAATAATATCAATAATATTGTTATCAAAACTCAAGTATATTTCATGAGGATTTTTTATCTTTACAAATTATGAAGAAAAAAAAAAACAAAGAAAAAAAAAAGACCTGGAATGAAAAGTTTATAATACCTACGTGAATTATCAGTTGAAATCACCGTAGGACTAGCATCAAATTCTACTAGATATTTTTTTCAGAGAGCGAACGCTACTCCTGGCTTGTTTCTGGCAGCACCCATTTGCTTAATATTAGAAAAAAAATTGTATAAAAGTATCTAGAGGTACCTGGTAATGATTGGTTTTTAATATTTTTTATTTGAAAATATTATAAAATAATATTTATTTCAAAAAAATATTTTTAATATAATATATTAAAATAATAATAAAAATCAAATTTATTGAAATCAACGTAATTACAAACATCTCACCTTAATTAGCCAAAAATTTGTCAAATAGAATAGCACTCTACTTATTATCACATTGGCAAACATCCAATGCCCTCAATTTATTCATTACAAAAAATTGCCCAGTATATTTCACCTCCACGGCCGGTCATGCGAGAGTGTGTGTTTAGAAATGCAATTATTTTTTTAAAAAATATTTTTAATATTAATATATTAAAATGATATCAAAACATAAAAAAATATTAATTTAAAATAAAAAAAATTAAAATTAAAATTTTTTAAAATACTTTTAAAATACCATGATAAATACACACCCTGGAAATGTGACAAATCGTGGGCTGTAGGCTGTGGCGGGTTTTAAGATATATATATATATATATAAAGAGAAATTTGAAAGGAGTTAAAGATGCTCTTATTAAAATATTAAGCATTTCGTTGTGTCTTTTCTCCTCCAGTCCTCGTAATTAATTAACCCGCGTGCAAGTACCATGTGAGAAAGTGCAT